CCCCCCCCCCCCCCCCCCCCCCTCCCTCAATCCCGTCGTCGTCGGGAACTCCGAGAAAGCGGCGTTGCTTGTGTTCCACTCTAGCTACAATTTCTGCGATATTGGCGGGTCCATGGTTCCAGCACCTTCAAGTGTAAACTAGGTTGATTCGGAGGCGGGGTTATCCAAGTTCGTTTGGCATTGTTTCACAAGGTCAACCTGTAGACGAAAGGTAGGTGGGGACCGAATCTGACGGTTGTTTTGGAAGGTGGCGAGGAATGAATCGGCATGTTGAAGTGGTTTTTGCTGTGTGTTGTTTGGTTCGTCAAAGTTTTGGTAAGGCCGTGTACACGTGGCAGGCGTGGGTACGAGAGCCAGATTCTGTGATACACTTTGGTGGCTTTTGGTTGGTGCGTAAGCGTTTGGTCTGTAATTTTGTTATTTTTACCCCTGAGGCTTGTGGGGTTGAAAAGTTTTTGTCACGGAGGTCAGTAGTACCGGTTCCTCCGAGGCACCGGTAACTTTTATCTTCCCCTGAAAGTTTCGTGTACTTTAAATGTGTTTTGTACAATTGCTTCATGGAGTATTGCTTCGCGCGAGGAAGTTTTAGCCAAAAATATCACCCGAACATGCCTTTCCTGTGGTGGTTGATTCTACGAAAAACCATGGGCCAATGCAATGGTCTATGGTATGGTGGCCCGGTGCGTACCGGATTGATTGGCTACCTCCAAAATCGCCCCGGAAAAAGGTTTTAACATCAGTTGTCTTGCTGCTGACGAACCGACGGGGTCTCTCTCACTCTCTTGGACTCTTGACTCCCGCTTTTGGGCTCTCGGCGGAGCGACAAACATCCGCCTTGGGGCCCTCCTCCTCCTCTGCCGCCCCGACTCTACAGTTTGATGATGAAAGGTGTTGTGAAGTGGGCAGGTTTCGCAGTGTGACGCGTCTGGAGAGCTAACTCCTGCGTTGTGTGGAGAGAGGCGGCTGCGAAGAGGCACTTGTTGGTTCTGCTTTGACGTGCGCCATCTGAACGTGTAACTGGAAAGCCCGATCGAGAAGGTTTGCCTACCACAGAAACCGGCCGGGAGGATGGCAGCTTAGGGGTAAAGGAGCAATGCCTCCGCGAAAAACGAACCAAACTGTTACGGGCACGCATTTCCCATTGCCCGCAAGGCGTAAAAATTGTTGTGCTGCTGTTGTGCGGTAGGAATGAGCCTCAAGGTCTTGCCATACGTCGGGCACACAAACGCGGCATCCTAGTGTGCAAGGAAGCGTTCCTGTTAACAGGCTTCTGGAACCTTTTGTTGAGCTTGCAAGAGCATCATCGCATCAACCTATCTATGCAAAGCAAAGTCACACGCACTCTTACTCTCCGCAGCCCCTTTGCGCCGAGTTTCTCCCCCAACCACAAAGTAAACACGGCAGACAGGTACGAAGCGCCGTACGTGTCGTGGAGCCTCTACAAACACACCAGGAATATCAAAGGTGCTGCGCCTCGGAGGAGATGAGTGGCTTATTGTCAAAAACGACAAGGAAACCAGCAAGCGAGCCCGCACTAAACGGCCACATGTGTGTGCAGACACGTCTCGCCTGCCCTGCTACGAAATAAAGACGAGAGACAGGGCGTCCTTTCACTGGCAAACTCCGGGCCAGCGCTCTGCCCGGCGCGGCCGGAACAACCAGTGCTGGTATAGTGCGGGGGAATATGCAAGCTCTTCATGCGAAGTACCTGCCGCGATCTTGATTCCCATGGCACCCCGGGACCTACGGTTATGGACATCATTCGACGTCGCAAAAAAAGAAACGCTCGAATGCGCACACATGACGGCTGCACACCCAGCGCCTCCTCACAACATGGCATATTCTCCCTCGAGTTTGACCACTCTTGTGCTCTACAAAAAATCTCAACCACTATGTATTGCACTGCTCGCTCTTTGAACCGGAGTAACACTACGCCAATCTTGCAGTAGCACCCCACAAGTTCGACCTCAGCATCGCTCTCTACCGAAAGACCACAGCAGTGCACGCGATCGGTCGTTGGAACAGGCTACGCTACCCCCAATGGGGCAAGAGGGACGCTGCTCTCACCCCATCTCGTGCATGCTGCCACGCCAAAGCAATTTGGGGGGGGGAATGACAAAACCAAGGTCACCGTCCCACCGCGTGGAATCAGTGGGGCTTGCTTGCAGACGAACAACAATTTCGCATGCTCCCACGAAACGCCGTTTTTGCTAACGTACGTATGTTTCTAATTTTTATTATCTAAACGTGTCCACCCGCGCGATGTTGTTGGTTCTTTCTATTCCGATGTGCGGGGAGCACCGATCATGCCCTGCGCCTTCGTCTTTGCACAGGTCTGGCGGCACTCGGGGATGCACTCTTGCCTTGAGCGCGACTGCTCCTTCGACTTGGTGCAGAAATAGATGCACTGCGTATCATTCGTGGGCGTCGGGGAGAGGGGGGGCGTGCGTGCAAGTTCAACGGCGGGCGGGGCTCGGGTACGATTACACCACAAGAGGTGGTGCCAGAAGGCCAGCAGACATGCACGTGGTAATATTTACGGGTGGGTTGGACTAAAACAGGTAGTTCAAAGGTGCACGCGACCGCTCTCGACCAGGAGTGCAGCGCTACAAGTTGCAAAACGATCCGAGGTCGGGGCGGGGGGGGAGGGGGTCAAGGTTTGGTACGCCCTGCGATGACAGCGGGCTTCGCAGGAACCTAGAACCGCCAAGCACAGCACTAAATAGCCTCCTCATCGAGAGGGTGGAAAGGGTAGGGAGAGCAAGATCGCACGCGAACGAGAAGGGTCCTGCTGCTGCTGTTGGGTGCGGGTTCACCTCTCGAGCCGACCAATCGGTGCACACACGGACGTTCCGATGAAAAAAAATACCTACCCAGTGAACCGACGGACAAAATAGCGGACGTGGTCGTCTTGCCTGCAGGCAACGTCAACACCACAACTCACATCGCTGAGGCAGGTTACGAACTCGGGGTCTGCCTTAGTGCCCTTGAGGGCCGGGTCGTCCTGCGGGTAAGGACGTGAGCAGGACGCGAAGGAATGTGTACGGTCCACGCCACGTGGTTGGTCGAGAAGACAGGCGGGCGAAAAAGTGCAAAGTTGGCGCGCGTTGCATCGTCGCTAAGTCACGGCAACGCTTCACCCTCCGCCGGTGGATGTGCATCCATCTTTGTGTTCACGCGTACCCGGCAATACGAGTCAATTCAGCTGATTGCGTAACGGCGGAGGTTTGGATTATCTTAGGGTGTACGACAAGAGGTATACGACAAGAGGCCAGCAGAACCCCCTGTGCCGCAGCGCTCTTGCTTCGGGACCTGCTGAATTTTGCTGCACACCTTAGTCTCAACACAGGCTGCTCTACTGCAACGGCGGTGTGGTGGCGTTCAGCACAGACCTTAGCGTCCGCGGCAGACACGAAGGCGAAGGAAGACATCGCTGCGGCCCCGAACACCACTCCAAGCACATCCTTTCGCGACGTCGGAAACTCTGCTGCCGAGTATTCGCTGCTCCCGGGACCTGGTGGTGCTGCTGCTGCCATCACGTGTCGCGATGATGGTCGTGCCCCGGCGACGCCTGCTGCTGCTGTTGCTGAAGAAGAAGGCGGTATGGAAAACGCCGATCCTCCGCAGGCGAGAGTCGCTACCACCACCGCACCTGTCGGCGAGGTGAGGTACAACAACTTGTCTTAATCTCTGATATCGCCGAAGCTCTCATCTCGGGTCTCTGTTCCTGTGTCCAGCTCTCGAGGGCGAGGATTCTGATGATGCGGCGAGCCATCGAAACACTCACCAATTGCACGCAACAACACAGATACTTACACATCGGAGAGGTTCGCATGATACGCCCCCAAAAGCGAAGTTGCATTTGCCAGGAGGGGGATATTGTTTGTGTGCGCTATGATTGCAGAGGCACCTGCGGGCGTAAGATAACCTCCAGGCCCGGTTGCGTGGTTCTGCGACGCACTGCTGTGCACAAGCGCAACCTCACTCCCTATATATCAAGAGAGCACGTGGTGGTGCCTGAGGGAAGCGATCGTCATCGATCCCGAAATCCTTGACTGAGGGGATTGGTTGCACCGCATCGAAAAAACAGCTGGTGGCGGCGTGGAAACGTGCACCCACCTTTAGCAACGTACGGGACCACCATGGTCAGCTAGTGCTTGGCCGGGTTTTGGTCTGCTGAAGCTGGACTGGGAGGGCGAGAGACAGCAGCAGCACAAACCACACTCTGCGTGGCGTCTGCTCTCATGAACAGGTAGGTGGAGCGCAAATATGCATGATGTATGTACATATTTTATCCTGTCTGCGGAGACCCCTCTGTCGCGCTTTTGTGATTTTGTGACCGTGCTGGCTCCTCTTCTCTCACACGCGACTGCACGATACAGCAGCTGCTGGTCGAGGATGATACTCCGAAGATGGACACTTGGCCCCGGATACTTCTCGCGATGGAGCGTTCTGGCAGCATCGTGCTGCGTGAACCTCTTCACGTTGTACAGGTGGGTGAGCACGCTCGCTGCTGCCTCTGCTGCTGCAGCTGTTTGTTCCATATATATTTATTGCCCACGTTTTTGATCGAAACACTTGGGACTTGGGACGCTCCTTGTTGTCGACTATGGACTGCGCTGTACAGCAGCGGTAGTGGTGGCACGGTGCGTTTCCCGCAACAGAGGTACACTGCATTGGGATTTCGTCCGTGCCACAGCGTCAGAAGTCTTGGCTCGAAATGGCGTAGCAGTGCGATGGATATGTCTCTGTCCCTTCGGATGTTGACGGGGGGAAAGAGACCGGGAGAAACGCTCAAGGACATAAGACGGTGGAGGGGTTGGCATCCTCCCGCCAACACACCCAACACACACAGAGCTTCATCGTTGCACCGCACCGTCTGCAACTGCTGCTATTGTGCACCCCTCTCGCGATGTTGTCACGGGAAGAAACACCACCGACTCACGCCCAGCTTGCCCCCCGTCTGTGTGGTGTGGTGCTTGGAAATGGTGGAATGCATCATGAACCATCGCCTTTGCGCAGCTACGCCTACGGCCTGTTTAGCGACACCCTCAAGAACTCCTTGGGATTCTCTCAGAGTGCGGTGGACGTCATCGCTAGCGTTGGAGAGGCGGGGCTCTGGAGCACATTTCTGGTTGGTGAGAAAAGGAGCGCATTCACTCTAGGTCGTAAACTGTACACACACCGCTGCTGTTTGTGAACCAAATAATCACGCATGGGTGTTACATTGAACCAAAAGGCAAACGAGACTGCCCCTAACATGCTTTATCGTTCCAACCAACGCAAATTCCTCCGCAGCTCTCCGAAGACGCGAAAGGCGCACCTGTCTGCCCGCAACACCAACTCAATGTTGAAGCGCTACACCACGTGCCCGTTTCGTGGGGCTCGGCCGCAGTCTGCGATAGTTCTTGGTGCGCAAGGCCGCTCGTCGACCGCTCTCGTCCGGGGTGTACATTACAGCAGGAGCCCATGTTCAAGGTTGATAAGTCCCCGTCACACCTTGTCGACCCGGAAGTTTCCAAGATTCTTCTCCGGGATGTCTCTCGCACCCCCATCAGAACCAAATGGCTGGTGAACGGGAGGGCGTCACTCTTTAACGAGCAGGATGAAAGAACAGATGTCGGGTTGCGTGTGTTTCCGTCCTCATCTACATTCGCACGGGATTATATTCCGGGCGCCGGTCTCTATACGCCCATCGTTGCCAGATGTGATGCTCTTGGTTTGACGCACTTTGGTACCCGAATTGCCGGGGGTTACACGGCAGGACGAAGGCGAACACAAACTTGTAGACTACGCCGCTTGCTGTACATCCTACCTTTGTCTTATTTTCCACGATTGATTCCTCTTGTTTCTGTTGTTTTCTTTCCCTCGTTGTCTTCACGTGGCACACATCTGGTGTGCGTATGTTCAGGGTGTCAACGTCGTTAGGCCCCCCCTATATCGGGTACGACAACAGCAGTACCGGACGTTGTTTTAAGCAGAGGTTCGGAGAGCTGATTCTGATTCGGTCATGATATATTTTGCCATCACCCCGAGGCACTTAGTCTATTCGATCTTTCGGGATCTTGGTCTCTTATCACCAACACCGGAAAAACAAACACACCGTTTCGGTTCTCAGCTTGTGTATTTTTCCTTACCACAACACAACCATATCCACAGATGAACGCGTTGGTAGGATTTGTAGCATTTAGTTCTTGGAAGAAGGAACGGTTTGCTTGTGGGTGGACTATCCTTCAAAAGATGACACGAACAACCTTCCGTGTGCGCGCAGCCAGAGCCAATCGCCAACACGCGGCGGAAAACACAACGGCGGACAGAGGGTAACAAAGAGGCTCGTTCGCAAACGCGCCATCCGCACAGCAGCACCTCACGCCACACGCTACTGCTGTTGTTGTACATCTTGTTGAAAAAAAAAGAACGGAACAACCCCACCCCGCCTCTCTGTTACTGCCGCCTCCGCCGATCACAAGGACACTTACCGTAAATGACACAAGATAACACACCCCCTGGACCGATTTTCAAATCTCGATTCTCAACAGCAGAAAGAGTCACGGCGCCGAAAACGGCGGCGTTGGAACCGTCTCGGCGAGAGCTTTCCAAAAATGTATCGTTTCGTTTATGCATCCTCTTTGTCGTGGAGTAATCGAGCTTTGAAAATTGGTCCACGGGGCGTGTCTTCTGTCATATACGGTATTTAAAAGCACCTCACTCACTAGTGTGGTGGTAGTGACGTCGTTGCACCGAAAGTTCAGAGCATACCGTATACGACGCAAGGTAACACACCCCGTGGACCGATGTTCAACGCTCGATTTCGCCACGACGAATACATTTTCGGAAAACTCTCGACAAGGCGGCTTCAACGACGCCGTTTTCGGCGCTGTGACTCTTCTCTGCTGTGGAGAATTCGAGCTTTGAATATTGGTCCAGGGGGTGTGTTATCTTGTGTCGTATACGGAACTCCCACCGGAACCCTTCCATACGGTTTAGGCTGTAAAAACATGCAGCTAACCGTACGCTTTAGGCTGTGAAAACATGCAGCTTACCGGAAGGTTCAGATATAGATCATTCGCTTGTCAGGCACGTACACAATTGTGTATAACATAGGCGGTGTATACACTACGGGGGTCTCCGTGCTCGCGCTGTGGCTCAAGTCCCACACACCAGGTTCAACCCCTCGTGAGGAAGGAACAATACATGCACGGTGACGGGCCGTGAGAGAGAGGGGCGACTGGCCCGATGTACTTGTACGCGGGTTCGGAGGCCTACGGCCTCTCGTCTGTGGCAACAAAAACAGCCAAACATCCAGGAGGTAGATGATCTCCGACATGTCTTCAGAAGTCACAAATCTACGAGACAACTCTTGAGGTGACTTCACGCTTTTTCTTATCCTTTCTGAGCGTGTAGTTTTCAAATTTGCTCCTTCCTCTTTTCCTTGTTCTCTCCTCTCTCTTTCTCGCTCTCTCTCTCCGTTCTCCCTTTCCCCGAAGGCCTTATCTTGGAGCGAAAATCTCCACGAGAAGTCTACGCTCTCGGGAGCATTGCAACGGGGGTGGGAGTTGGGTACGTTTCCCTGGCTATCTTGAAGGTAAGGGTATAGCAGTGGGCAAAGCGAAGAACGGCGTCGGGCGTGCGGTTAAGACGCAAGCGATCGTCCATGTACGCGGAGGTTTGCTCCCTCCCGAACCGCGATAAAATTTTTCTTGTACAGATGTTGTCGAGTACGTGTCACTTGTCCCGAGGGAGGAAAACCCAGCGTTTAACAACGAAGCGGTTATTTGGCTCAGCATATGGTTTGGCGAGAATAAGTTGTCTTGGTTTTAGTAGGGGGTACGTGGTACGGGTGGTGTTAGGGTTGGAGATGGGGATACGTACCCCCCCTCTCTGTTTCATAGATTGATAATAAAACCCTCCCGAAAAAGGTCCTTTTGGCTTGCTGACGGAACGTGGCAGTCATCAGAACGGGTTGGTGTCCGGGTGCGAGACAATCAAAGTTTTTTTTTCGAAGACATTTTTCCTAGAGCTCAGGTGTGTGACCGCTCACCACGATCGCGGCGCGCTATGTATGTAGACCACGAAGCAGATAGGAACCATTGGGATAATCATGTTTGTATCCGAAAGTTCCTTACATACTCATACAGAGTGATTTGCCGCACAGTCGCGTGCTAGCCTTTGAACTTGTGTGTTGTGTAGCGTGACCGTAGTGTTGGCCTTGCTTCGCCCGGTGGGGCCTTCCCTACTTATTGCCAGCTCAACACGAGTGGACTCCGAACCCATCGCCTCTGCCGCCTTTGCCTACTGTGCTGCACTCGCTTTCTGCAGGTGTTGCCGACTAACCCCGTGGCCATGGGTGTGTTTTTCTACCTCGCGAACTTTGGGACTTCGTGCTATGGGCAGTCTGCGACAACAACTGTCCTCCGAAGCTTTCCAGCGTCGGACAGAGGCAAGGTACGACCCCAGCTACCTCCTGCCCCCCCCTCCTCCTCCTTCTCCTCCTCCCCTGTTTCGAGTGCTTGTACCGTGGTGAAGCACTGTTTTTTTTTTCGTTGCCTGTTTTTTTTGTTCCAGTTGGCCGGGATGATGTTGCCTGTTAATCGTGTGCCATATTTCATTTTTCCATCCTTCATAAAGGAGTAGTACTTTTACGCACTTTCTCCGCAGTTTTCGATTGCTCGTACTATTCATGCACTGCTCCTCAATTTTCCATGGATACCGCGCGCGTACTCTCGGCCCTCCAGGTTGCCGGCGCCATCAAGTCCATTTTTGGGCTGAGTTCCGCCGTCATATCGGTACTGTACGCCGGACTGTTCGGATCGGTCGGGGTCGGGCGGTTCTTGCTTTTTCTGAGTATTGGGGTGCCGCTAGTGGGCACGATATCGTCGGTGCCAATCAACGTCGTGCCCCCCAAGCACTTGTCGTACGCGACGGAGCGAGCTCAGGGGGTGAGCCGGCTCGTGTGCGTGCATCGGAATGCATACCGCCGTCGAAATGTTGTTGGTTGTTGTTGTTGTTTCGATGTAGTCGCCGTCTTCTCGGCGATGAGACTAACCGTTCGGACCCCATCAGGTGGTAGTGTTACTCAACATTGATAGCCAACGATTTTCTCTCGGCTGAAGAGTGTTTTCATGGACGCCTATCGCTTTGTTTTCTGTTATTAAAGGGAACCGAGTGTGCGTGTGTGTGCCTGGTGGTGCCTTCTCCTGTTCCCTTCAGCTCTATCCGAGTGTGGCAATGTTTACCGAAAGTTATAGCTGCGAGGGTCAGGTTTGTCGCTGTCTCGCCTAAAGCTGGCCTGGATGACGGAGCGCCCGTAGACGCGCGGCGGAACGACGTGCTTGAATATCGCGTATTTTATGCATTATATTACGTGACACGATGGAGTTTGCCCCGTGTTACCTTCAGAGTTTGTTTCCCCTCTGATGTAGCATGCTGCTTTCCATCCCGGTTGGTGCGTTTACACAGACACCGCAAACGTACAGACTGGCGCTCGTTCGATATGGCGCTGAGCCTCCCTGTGAGGGCAGTTTGAAGTAGCTGTTATGGTAGGTCTCATGTCGAAAGTCACGCAGACATGCATCCAATTCGCACTGTGCAGCCCGTAAACCTTGAGCACACATCACCTTCTACCACGCTCTCGTCAAGGTGTGTCTTGCATATTGGCGGACGGTATATTTCCACACGACGGACAATGTTTTCTCCGCACCGCGTATGTACCGTTGATGAATGACACTTGCACACACCGTCTTGATTCTGTTCTGTTCCGATCCCCCCCCCCGCTCTGGCGTGTGTGTCCGCCGCGCGCGCGATGCGCGTCGCCCCCCGCCACAAAAAAAGGTGGATCCCCGGATGAAACCGTTCTACACCTGGCTCGGCTCGGTGACCGCGTTTCTCATCCTCGCGGCCACCCCGGCCCTGCTCCCGTTCACCCTCCCGGTCCCGTGGACGGGCCTCGCTCTGCTGCTGCTGGTATCCACTGTGGCCGCCGTGCCTTTCTTCTACGGCTCTGTGTACATCCGAGGCTCTCCGCTGCTGCTCTCCAGGGGCCCCTCGATGGATAGCGACGGCGGCATGGAGAGGGAAGAGCGGCGCGGGAGCGACCTCGCTCCGTGCGAGTTCAGGTTGGAAGACGACCTGTTCGGGCGCGAGCACCACCCGCTTCTGGGGGGGGCCGGCAACGGGAACGGGACCCACGCGGGTTTGGGGCGGGTGACGGACAGCGGCTACGGGTACACTTGGAAGGAGTGTCTCCAGGTGCGTGTGGTGGTGTTCAGCCGTGTTTGCAAGGCTGGGCAATTCTTTGATAACCGGGGCACGCTGGAGGGGACGGGGCAGGGGGGGTTTCGCCTTATATTTTCTACGCACATTTAACAACGTGATTCCAAAACTTTGTTTCTCGGCTGAGCCCCTTTCATGCCTCCTGCTGGGTCGGAATGGCCCGCCCCCTACCCGCCCGCCGGCCCGCGTGTGTCTTTTTATCAACAAGGACGGCGCATTTTTTGTGTGTTTTCTTGCATCCAGAACCACAAGGACAACGACACCCCGAACCGAACGTTCTGAAGCGTTCGCTTCAGTCTCATCGTTCGATATCCGTGGGTAGAACTTTCATTCGCATCCCCCACCCCTGGCCCGACCCGGTCTCACATGCTGATCTCGGGCTACAGTGCAAATCTCGTGGCGCCTCAAGTATGGTTCGGTAGGGAATCACAAACCATGACCCCTCCCCGAGTTTGAGCAGCTTGCACCTCCAGTGGCCGACACGACTCGACCTTGACTGTTCCTTGTCGGTTTCGCCATGGGAACGGCCGGTTGAACAACGAAAGAGGGCCCTACGTGCTGCGCGCCCACAACATGTTTGTTTTTCGTTCATGAGTGACCGTTGTACACATGCGGTTGCTGTTGTCATGCTCGGAATATGCTGCAAAGGTCGTAAGGTTATCATCTCTGTCGCTTGGGCTGCACACTGTGCTCGCGTAGGAGATGCGCATCCCTTGATTTTTCATCTGTGTCGACACCCGTAAAGAAAATCAACGGCAGCCGGTTGAAGATACAGCCAACAGCAGACGGTCCGCCTTAGTTTTTTATATGTTCTTGCTGCATTGTCCATGCATGGAATGGGTGGAAATGTATCGTAAGCGTGTTGCACCTTGAGTCTGCTGCGTAGTAGTCGTAGTTTGAGCGATAAGAGGTAGATGGCAGCACAATCTTATTTGCGTACTGAGGTTTGACAACTGGTCGTTCATGCAGCGGTGCGCATCTATCGCGACGGCATGCGTAGTGATGTACTTCGTCCGTGGTTCTTCATCTATGTACAGCAGTAATCATGTTCTTTCTTATTGTCACTTCATACAACTTCATGCCACAAACGAAAAAGCAAGTCTCCACAGTTCGGAAACGGCGACTATGTTTCGTTTGTTGTGTTTGTTGTTGCTGAGCGCACATAGGATGTCGCCGTCCGTTACACATGTTTGACAGCCTGCGGTGGGCCACAGGGACGAGAATGAGTGTCTTCTCGAGAGTACATGCCTTCTAGATGCCCTCTTCTTTTGGTCTACAGTGTACCTGTCTCTCTCTCGCTTGCCACCGGTGGGGTCCCAACAACATCGAACGTCAACCGCAGTCGTTTTGCGTCTTGCTGAGTAAGAGGCTACCCGTGTACCCGGCTGCTGCATGTGAGGCGATTGGCGTTGCCTCTGTACGTGATGAAGCAACGGGCATGGTCGCTCCTGTTTGCTGCATGCAGTGCTATGTGACAGCTTCCAGCAGTTCAGTGCGGCGACGGTGGCTTTTTTCTATGCTGCTCTCTTTTGCCACCTCCCGGAAGCCGTCGCGTCTGGCTCATTTGCCTTTGTTCTCCCTACTTTCTATATTTGTTTTTCATTTTTCATGCTTTGCTTTTTCGGGTCCGCCGGTCACCCACCCGCCCATCATTTCAGTTTTCATGTTCGTTGGGAGGGGTTACTTGCCATGTCTGTAACTGGGCCCTGCGAGTTTCGCGATTCTGAAGCTGCAGTCAACATGCGGTTGCTGCAGTATATGCTCGGAATGTCCTGCAAAGGTCAAAAGTCGTAAGGTTTTTGTCTCTTGTCGTTTTGGGCTGCACGCGTTGCTCGCGTGTCCTTGTTATCCATGAAGAGCAACGGCAGTACGGTTGAAGAGACAAACAACAACAGACGGTCCGCCAAGGTCCGCCATAGCTTTTTTTTAATGCATGGATGGATGGGTGGTATGTATCGGTAAGCGTGTTGCTGCCTTACCTTGGGTTTGCTGCGTTGTCGTAATTCGAGCGATAAGGTAGTGTAGATGGAATCTTATTTTTGTACTAGTAGTGAGGTATGATAACCAACAGTCTGCTCGTTCGTGCAGCGGTGCGCGTCTATCGCGGACGGCAAGCCAAGCGTATTGAGATAATAGTTCGTCCGTGGTGCTACAGTTATGTTCTCACTTCCTACCACGAACAAACGATACAAAGTCCACAATGGCTTGAACGGCGACTTTTGTTGGGTGTGTTGTTTGTTGTTGCTGAGCCCACATCAGATATCGCCGTTCGATACACATCATGTCTGACAGCCTGTCGCGTCTGTCTCTTGTTCTCGCTTCTTCCTTTCCCATTTCATGCTTTGTTTTTTGGGGTCCCTCGGTTCCTGTGTGCTCATCGGGCGTCTTCTTGGTGTCTGCCTTGATTTGTTTTATGTTTTTTTTACCCTCTGAAAGAATCGAAAGCTTCAGACAGGCAACGCGAAGATACTCGCCGAGTTGCCATACACAATCAAAAGACATGGAGTGCTGATTCTTTAGCGAGCCGACGTACCCGTTGTGGCACGCGCAGACCTGGATTCATCCCAACAACTCCACCTCACGCCCGGCGAGATGTAGCTGAAGCTAGCCGGCGCAGGTCTGAACTATTTATGTTTCTTCCCCTGTCCGGTTCTCCGTCCCCCATCCATCTTTCTCTCTCACCTCAGGATGGGCGATGGTGGGTCCTGTACGTGGGCTTCTTTTGCGGTGCCGGTTCGGGGCTGGTCGTGATCAACAATGTCGCGTCCATCGCTAGGTCTCTGGGGATGGTCTCGAGCGACGTGCTGGTGAGCGAGTGGGAACGAACGGATTCGAGAGCCGAGGTTTTGATGATGTCGGTCTCATCAACCGCGGTTTCGCGTTACGTCGTCCCTTGTTTTGGAGTTGGGGCCTAGTTTAGTTCCAAAGTTGGCAGAGCGCAGCCAGGAGGAGAGAGAAGAGAAGTTCGGGGAGAAAACGAAGTCAGCGAGCGAAAGAGAGATCGTGGAAGAGAGAAGAGAGAAGACAAACGGCAGAGAGAGACGGACAGACCGACAGACAGTTAGACAGACAGGTAGCCTGACAGAGACGGGGGGAGAGAGAGAGACAACAAGGCGCGCGCTGGAGGTAAGGGTAATGGGAGTGCGGGCGCCCAGAACTCCTCGTAACCCCCGTCTTCGAGTTCAACCCCAACCTGCGCTGTTTTCGTCTTTCAGGTGTCGCTTATTGGGATTTCGAACGCCCTGGGGAGACTAAGCGCGGGCTGGATATCAGACCGAGTCGTCGCTGCAGGGCTTCCGAGATCGTTGCTCTTGTCCGCGATGCTGCTCACTACTTGCGGCGTGGACTTCCTCCTTGCCGCTGGGTGAGTACACGCAGATTGCGGGGGGGGAAAACACCCGTGGTAAATTTCGGCGGACTCGGATCAGTTGTTTTCCTTTTTTTGTGGACAGCGTCTTGTTGCTGTTTTGTCTCCTGAGGAAGGGCGAACATGGGGAGACCAGAGCAGTCCGTATTCATGCAGAAGTCGCCACCACCTACAGAGGGGGTCCCTGTTCAGTGCCGGTATGTCCCCAGAAATTTCGCCGGCACTGCACTGTACTGTACCGGTACTACTGCACCGGACCGTGTGTGTTTGTGTGTGTGTCAAGCTCGACTTGTTCAATTACACCAATTGTTTTTGTGCAAAAGCCTTCCCTTTCTGTTTTTTTTCCTTTGTTGTCGCTGCTGCTGCTGGGGAAAACCAGGATCCGATCTTTCCTGTACCCACTCTGCGTGGCCGCGGGGTGTTGTTACGGGAGCATGTTTTCATTGGTGCTGGCACTGACGGCCGACATATTCGGCCCTGAGCACGTGGCCACCAACTACGGGCTCCTCGATCTAGGTGAGACACAACAGTCAGTCGTTCGTTAGTCAATCCGCGGGGTTTACTGGCTTGCTTTGAAGGATGGTTGTGTTGGCAGTAGCATATCTTTTGTGTGTGCTTTTGCCCATGCACGGTTCTAGTCGCATGTGCTTCTTGGTCGCATGTCTTTGGCCGCCCGCAAGCACAGCACACGAGATTGCGCGTCGGCGAGAGTGGTGTTTTCCCCGCGCTTATGTTTTGCGATGCTCGCTATTGCTCAAGTCGCGAGCCTGAACGCGTGGTGATGCACAAGACCGGCCGTTTGCTCCCTAAACCTCGATTTTTTCACGCGCTCGTTAAATGCATGTTGTCGTGGCAACAATTTGTCCCCCTCCCCCCCAACCCCCCCGGTGTTTGCCATCGGGGTTGGGTTTTCGTCGCTTGGCA